ATAATAATAATAATAATAATAATAATAATAATAATAATAATAATAATAATAATAATAATAATAATAATAATAATAATAATAATAATAATAATAATAATAATAATAATAATAATAATAATAATAATAATAATAATAATAATAATAATAATAATAATAATAATAATAATAATAATAATAATAATAATAATAATAATAATAATAATAATAATAATAATAATAATAATAATAATAATAATAATAATAATAATAATAATAATAATAATAATAATAATAATAATAATAATAATAATAATAATAATAATAATAATAATAATAATAATAATAATAATAATAATAATAATAATAATAATAATAATAATAATAATAATAATAATAATAATAATAATAATAATAATAATAATAATAATAATAATAATAATAATAATAATAATAATAATAATAATAATAATAATAATAATAATAATAATAATAATAATAATAATAATAATAATAATAATAATAATAATAATAATAATAATAATAATAATAATAATAATAATAATAATAATAATAATAATAATAATAATAATAATAATAATAATAATAATAATAATAATAATAATAATAATAATAATAATAATAATAATAATAATAATAATAATAATAATAATAATAATAATAATAATAATAATAATAATAATAATAATAATAATAATAATAATAATAATAATAATAATAATAATAATAATAATAATAATAATAATAATAATAATAATAATAATAATAATAATAATAATAATAATAATAATAATAATAATAATAATAATAATAATAATAATAATAATAATAATAATAATAATAATAATAATAATAATAATAATAATAATAATAATAATAATAATAATAATCATTAAAAACATAATAATAATAATAATAATAATAATATATCATCATATATATTATTAAAAGTGGGAAGAAATTTAGGAAAAAGTTAAATTGTTGTTTTTCCCCTATATTAAATTAAAATGTTATAAAATATCTAATTTATTAAATATTCTATCATTAATTAAGAATATCATATTATGTTTTACAATAATATAATTAATATGTATTTGAGTATACATACGGATGGATTAATTTCCTTGGTACTGCCACTTATTTCAATACTCTAGAATGACTTATCATTTTCCCAATACCAATTCAATGTTTTAAAGTTCTTTTCAACTTCTAATAGTAATCTTTCAGATTTTGTAAATAGCCAGATCATGCTAGACTAGATCCATTGATGTTCTCCCCCTCCTCCTCTTCTTCTAAATTCATCTTTAATGTGACTGGTAAGGTTCCATTGATATTTCTCATATATCGGCTCTCTTAACCATCTTTATTATGCTTGATTATGAATTATTCTTGGGCTGCTAATAATTCTATCACGGCATATATAGTTTCTTCCTTTATAAATTGGACATAAAATGTTAGTCCACTAGACTTTCTTATGAAAATTTTAATTTATCGTTATTCTTTCTTATTCAGATTAATATATTGCATTGTTTTACCTTTTTCATTTTGTATGCATATGATGACATGTATATTTTATTGTTTTTTAAAGTTAATTGGGTTGATATTACATATGTTTCTATACATAAGTTAGGCCTATATAAATTTTATATAATAATAAAGGTCAAACGTGCAAGGCACGTTCTCGGAACTAGTATTACTAAAAGCATGAACAAAATAAGTTGAAAGTTGATTTACGGTTTTACCCCTTCTATAAATTAAATTGTTATAAAATATTTAAATATTTGATTGTATAAGTTTAATTAAAATGTTAATGACTTTTAAACTTCCTAAGGTTAATTCCTAATTAAATGTCTAATTTATTAATATTTATCATCTATAATCTATATGTAATTTTTTTTTTTTAAAAAAAAATCTCTACCTAAATTGCTATACTTTTCCTCTTCTCATAACTTTTTCCTTAACCCCTCTCATAAATAATATAATTTATGTGAAGTATTATCCTTTATGATAAATAACGAAATTTAATAATTTAAAGAGTGCAAATCTGCAAAATGGAGACACACACATGGATAATGTCCTCTTGATTATTATTAAAGAATGACTCTAGCTTCACAAATTTAAATTCATTGAGGCTTAATTACGTGATAAGAACTTTAATTGTTCTTTCTACATGGTTTGCTAACTTTAATTTTCTTTTTCCTATTTTTCATTTATTTATTATTATTTTCTAATTACTTATTCAACTTTTATACTCTTAATATCCATAACTCTCATCTTTTTATATTCATAACCTCCAAATATTTAAACTAAAAAGATATCTTTTGATATTCCTTCTATTCTATCTATATAAATTCAACTTCTTTATCTCATGAAACCCCTACCAAGATTATTAGGATATTATTTTTATTCCATAGTTAAAGTAGATGAAGAAGACTCTTGAATTTTGATAGGATATGGAAGGAGTCGATAAGAACTCAGAGAGTTATGTACTAATTTTGTACTTATTTTTTCATCTATATATACATCAGTCTTATAAGAATAAAGTCTACATTGTATTTTTTCTTAAATTGTTTCTTTTTGTCTTTTTTTTCTCTATTAGACTTCTTAATTTAGTTTTCTATGAATGTTTTATTGCCGTAAGTCTTTATTTTTATTTTGTAATTGTTGCATTTTATTATTCATTACAATTTACATATATATTTTCATGAAATTTTAGTCATCCTAATGTATCTATAAAAATTTTCATGAAGCACACGTGCGAAGCACGTGCTCAGAAACTAGTGTAATATATAACTGAGAAATTAATTAACTCTTACCTAATCCAACTAATGTCAACAACCATCTTTATTGCAATAATAAATATATATAGTGATAGTACTACTTACTAGACAATAGTTATTTCAATGTCATTTCCTTGAAATTTCGTGTTAGTTTCTACTGTCAATTCTAAATACTATGTACTTGTTGAAATTTCAAAGAAATTCATTTTTTTTACTTATTGAAATTTCAATTGATTTTCTTTCTACTTAAACTTTCAGCTTATTGATGAGAATTCGATTCCTACATTGTAATCTTCATCGGTCCATTTAAATTACGTGGATTCACGTGAACACATACCACATTAGCTAGATCTGCCCCTGACCATATTACAACTTGCATTGAACATCTATTACCATTGCAACATCTGAGAGCAGAATATTAGATATATTATGTCTCAATTCCGAACAAGTGAGCAAAATTTATAGACAATAATGTAAAATTCAATTGCACCAACCAACTTATAAAAAATGATACATTATCACTTTCGTACTACAACTAGGACATTTGATCCCAACCAACTGGTTATCATGTAATATGAATCTTTATATCCTATATTCCAGACAAGGACCCGTGGGGGACTCAAAGTCGATATACCTGTCTCATAATCTCATCAACTTGCCACCTAGCTCATGATCCAGGATATAAGTAAGATGTCACATTTTCTTCGTATTTCTCTACTTTCTCATATTTCCACAAATAATGATATGTTGCATGAGGATAAATGCATCACAACATATACAACACAAATGCATAATCAATTCATCAAGGATGTCAAATAGTATTAGATTCCCAAGCAAGTCATGAAACATGTTCTCAAATGATAAGGATAATAGGTGAAACCATTTGAAAATCAGTCTTTACCACTTAGAAAGAATTTCTTTCATTTTAAAGATGTTCCAAAAATCAAGTCAATCCCCTAACTTGGGCATCTCAATGCCATATTAAGGATTGGTCACACAGCCGCTCGCTCGAACAATTACTCAAATACCACAGGTTTTCAGCAATAATTAAAAGTATAACACAAGCCTCCACACACGCTAAGCATAACAAATAGTCGTCATACAAACAAAATAAGGAGGTCAACCACACCAACTTCTAAGACTCATACTACTACTCATTTCACAGTTGACTTCCTAACCAAGGTTAGTTACTCATATCAGGCCAAGAAATGGATAGCCAAACTTACCTCGAAGGCCGAAACATCACACGAACAAATCTATCAGAGCACCTCCTCAGCCACACGATCACCCGAATAATCCCCAACTATCAATAATGGATATAGTTCATCAAAAGGATCCTAACGATACCCATAATGATATGATTAGGAACCGGGGATAAAATAGTTCAAAAATTACTTCGGAAATCGAATGGGTAAAACAAGATTTTTAGTTGAAAATCAAGTTCTACAAGTCAAGAGGGATTTTGAAATCCTGGATACACCTCTGATTTCAATGTCATTTCCTTAAAATTTCTTTTGGAGCAATTTCGCGGTAGTTTCTACGGTCAATTCTAAGTACTATACCTTTTGAAATTTCAAAGAAATTAATTTTTTATTATAGGCAAAGGAGAAGTAATAATTAAATGGCGGAAATCTCAGTAGCTCAGTTGATTGTCTTTCTACTTAAACTTTCAGCTTATTAATGAGGATTCGATTCCCCACATTGTAATTCACATCGACCCATCTAGCTTATGTGGATTCACGTGAACACATACCACATTAGCTAGATCTTCCCCTGACCACGTCACAACTTGCATTGAACATCTATTACCATTGCAATATCTGAGAATAGAATATTCAAAATTATTATGTCTCAATCCCGAACGAGTGAGCAAAATTTATAGACAATAATGTAAAATTCAATTGCACCAACCAACCTATAAAAAGATGATACATTATCACTTTCGTACTACAACTAGGACATTTGATACCAACCAACTGGTCATCATGTAATATGACTCTTTATCTCCTATATATCGTGCTTGATTTTTCGATAACTCTACATGGATTCTAGGAAATTGTATATATTTATCAAGACAATTCCTATCGTATGATTTTAGGTCTTCTTTATTAATTGCCTTTTAACTCCATCAATCATCATGGTTGTACATGCTAAACATAAATATTAAATTATTAATATCAGAATCTTGAATATGATGAACCCAATTGAAAGCATCGTAAAATATGTATTTGAAAATTAAATTTATACCATATTATAAGGTTACCAATTCTTCTATGGAAGTGACAATTGATAACTCTAAAAAGAACTTGACCATTACCACCAAGGTATGGAAAAGAGCTATGAGCTAGAAGTTGTAGTTTCAAGACTTAGTCCAACTACAACTCATCATATTGACTTGGGCAGTGACAAGTTTGACGGACTTAGTCCAACTATAACTCATGATATTGACTTGGGTGGTGACAAATTTGACGGACTTAGTCCAACTATAACTCATGATATTGACTTGGGCAGTGACATATTTGACGGGGATGATGGGTGATTTTATCATGTAAAATTATTACTTTTAATGGTAAAATTGATTGAGTAATTTTAAAAAAGAAAAACTCAAAGTTAAGTGATTTTATTGATATAAAACAAAGTTGAATGACATTACAGGATAATCTTTCAAAGTTGGGTGACGTTTTGAGATATTTACTTGTTTGTATTTGACTAATTAATTTGAGAAGAAATTAATGATTTCCACAAGCTTATATTGCAATATATCTCAACTTTGCGATTTAGAGCTGATATACCCTCATTATAAAAGTAGATCATATCTTTCATTATTTTTACACAAATAAATCAGATATACCATTTTGATCTTAAGAAAGTGAAAACATAAATTTTAAATTTTATTTTTAAAAAAATCATGTAGGATATATTAATTGATCCTTCACACACGTGAATTTTTTTTACTTCTTTAATTCAACCGCTAATTTGGGTTTATTACTTTAATGGTCAAATTTATTTGAGAAATGTTTTTACCCTGTACCGAATTCACCCTTAGCTTAATTCTTAAGCTGTGATTTTCTTCTCCCAATTGAATTCCTATGTGTACTATGTGAAATGGAAAAAATGTGCAGTTAAGTGAATTGATCTCTTTCAGCTTGCTTATACTCATACTCAGGTCACTAAAGTTATAACAGAAATGTTTATTGATTCTCACATATAAATGTGACATTGTTTATGAATAATCTTGTGTAGCAAGGTTTTTGAGAGATCTCTAGCGATCAAAGTGTCATTCAACCTATAAGTATAAATGATCATATATATGTCTATAGCATAGTATGAAAATAACATCTAAAACATACTTTCAATGAAATTGCTAGATTATTTTTGTCACAATTAAACTCAGGATTATAGCAGAAGCCTCACACTAATCTTTCCAAAGGAAAACTGATGAAAGAATCACCCAAATTGTTGTGATGAACAAAACCTGTTTGCCAGAGGAGATAACAACAGAAGAATCATTCAAATCCTGACTGAGCTATGCCAAATCCAATACCTTGTGTAGAAGCTGTAACAATCACCACTATCCCTTCAAGTTTGGGCAATCACTAATTATCGATGGCTCACTGGGCTAACGTTAATACATAGAAAAATGACCTAAAATCCTGTTTTTGTGATAGCGAGTCCAAGTGATGTTCCTCTGTATAAAGTCTTTTCTTAATAAACTCATTTCCTGTTCTGCATCTAAAATAGGTTCAAAACACTCAAATGAAATTACAAACAATACATGACTCCAAGTAGTACTATACGACGACTTTACTGAATAAACAAAAAGCATCATATTAACTTGCAACTCAGAAAAGAACACCATCTGAACAGATTATGATCACTTCTATGTCTCCAGAAATGTGTTGTTGATTTTGTTAAGCCTCTTCACTACTTCTTTCATGCTTATTCTTGACTCTGGCATTTCCTTTGTGCAGTCTAAACCCAATTCTATCATGGACGCTATGCAGATTTCACTTTTACTAGTGATTTGTTCTTCCTCGGAAAAAATATTGGCATCCACAACATCCATCATACTCCCTGAAAATGATTGTGTTATCCATTTCCTCAAGTCAAGATTTTCATTGCATATCTCTTCATCCGTTGGCCTTCTTTTGGTCAAAACCTCCATCAACATGATGCCGTAACTATAAACATCACCACAAGCAGACACTATCCCCTCCGAGCCATATTCTTAGAAAAGGATTGAAGAAAAGTTACTCAGTTGAAATACAACAATAATTCAATTTTTTCTTCTACAACTTGGAGAGGCTTAATTATGATAAGAGAAAATCAATGAGAGTAGATTTTTTATACCTGGTGCAGTGTATCCAAGAGTGCCCAATGTCTCTGTATGTGCCACAGACTTGCTGACAGCTAAAATTTTAGAGATTCCAAAATCACCAACATGAGCCACCATATCTTCATCCAAAAGTACGTTGGCTGGCTTTAGGTCGCAATGAACTATTGGAGTGACATGACCATGATGTAGATATTCAACTGCCATAGCTACATCAAGCATTACAGTGACTCTTTGATGAAGGTTCAAATGGCGATCTTCTTTGTACAGCCAATTCTCAAGACTCCCATTGGGCATAAATTGCAGAACAAAGGCTCTTATATAGTCACTAGAACATGTAGTAATCACTGGAACAAGATTTCTGTGTCTAACATTTCTCATCACTTCGCATTCGGTATCAAACCTCTTGCATACTTGCTCATTTTCCAAATCCAGAACCTTAATGGCCACTGCAGTTCCACCAAACAATGTGCCTTGGTACACAGAGCCAGAGCTTCCCTCACCAATTAAATTGGATTTATCAAAATTATTTGTTGATCGTTGAATCTCGTGATAAGAAACTAATTGACGAGTCCCCATCTCCGGTACCTTCTCTAAATCTTTGGACTTCCCTTTCTTCTGTCGTTTCATTATCCAAATTGAAACGAACAAGAATATCAGAAAGGATGCAATAATCACTGGAGTAACAATTTTTAGCAGAACCTCCTTAAGCTTCAATTGATTTCCAGGATTAGTGATAGCACAAGCAGGAATCTCCAATATGTGCATTCCGCAAAGACCTTTGTTCCCGAGAAATGATTGCAAAGTGGAAATTGCAAACACGCCACCACTCGGTATTTCACCTTCTAAATCATTAAATGAAACATTAATTCTTTTAAGGTATGAAAGTTTTTCCAAAGACTTAGGAATAGTACCGGACAAGGCATTTAAAGGCAAATCCAGGAATTCCAAGCTTATCAAGTTGGCAAAGGATAATGGAATTTGGCCAAAAAATGAGTTGTTCGATAGGTCAAGAGACTGCAGGCTTTGGAGTTCCCCCAATCTGGTTGGTATCACACCTGAAAGGTGGTTACTGTAAAGATATAGTTTGATAATGGCTTTCAGTCCTCCAATATCTGATGGAAGTTCTCCCTCTATTGAATTTTGTGACACACTTAGATAGAGAAGACCACTCATCTTCCAAAGGCTCAAAGGAAATTTTGATGAAAATTTATTAGAACCCAAAAAAAGGTGTTGTAGCATGCTAAGATTTCCAAAGCATTCTGGAATTAAACCAGAGAGTTCATTATCATACTGATATAATTTAACCAAGTTTGATAAATGGCATACCGTCTCTGGAATATGTCCCTGCAATTTATTGCTAAATAGATACAACCCTTGGAGTTGTTTAAGCTTACCAACATCAGAAGGAATACTCCCTGTCAAGTTGTTTCCGCCAAGGGTTAGGGATATAAGACCGCTCATGTTGCCTATACTTGTGGGGATGAGGCCATTGATGTGTGCATCTGCTATTTCAAAGTTTTGAATAGTAGATGAAAGATTCCCAATAGAATTAGGCAGAATGCCATTCAACAGATTAAACCCCACTGATAGATATCGCAACATCCTACAGTCCGCCAAAGAATTGAAGAATCGCAATTCAAGCTCTGTTGGTTCATTGGTAAGTTGATTAGTATGTAGGAGCAGTATTTGCAGCTCACGAAGATTCCCCAAATTAGTAGGAATAGTGCCTGTCAGAGAGTTACTAAATAGATTCAGTATCTGAAGCTTAGAAGCATTTGTTATGAACAATGGAATTTCCCCTTCCAGCTTATTGACTGCCATGCTAAGTTCCTTAAGGTTAGGAAGATGAAGACCTGTAGTGGTTGGAATTCTCCCCGAGAGGTTATTGAAACTGAAAGCAATCACTTCCAAAGAAGATATGTTGAAAATAGCCTCTGGAATTTCACCAATTAGATTAGAATTATTGTCAAAGCCTAATTCCCTCAAATTTGATAGCTTCCCTAATTCCGGAGGAATTTGCCCCACCATGTGATTGTTTTTGCAATAAAGATATTGCAGAGTGGAAATATTTCCCAACGAAGTGGGAATAGTCCCTTTTATTGGATTATCACCAATATAAAACTCCTCGAGTTTGGATAAACAACCAATATTTCTGGGTATGTCTCCAATTAAATTGTTGAAAGATATGGACAAAACTTTGAGCTCTGTGAGTTGGCATATGTTGGAAGGAATGCAACCAGAAATTTGGTTGTTAGACATACTAAACTGTTTTCAGATTTGACACAATATTCCCTTCATCTAGCAAGAGAGGACCGGAAAGCCTATTGATTGCAAGAGATAAGGCAAGAAGTGACGAAATATTAAACAATGTTGTGGGAATGAAACTTGTTAATTGATTGTCGTGCAAAAACAACCCTGTAAGTTGGCTTAGATTACCGATCTCCTTTGGAATGTTCCCGCTGACTCTATTCTCAGACAAATCGAAGTTCTATCATTTTGTTGGCATTCCAACATAAGGAGGGATTATACCCGTGAGATTATTGTTCCTGAGATTTAAGACTTTGAGTTGGGGTACGTACCATGGCCCTCTCCACATTTCACCACTGAGTTCATTGAAAGCCAATGCAATAACTTGAATTCTCTGGTTTTGAAATAGACTTGTTGGTATACTTCCGTTGAGCTGATTGTTTTGAATATCAATCACTCGAAAGCGAGGCAAGTGGCCAAGTCCATAAGGGATGCCACCACGAAAGCTGTTGTTCTGGAGATTGAGAACACTGAGGAAGGACAAATTGGCCAAAGATGGGGAAATTGTGCCTTGAAGTTGCAAATTAGGAAGAGTCAAGGCTACAACCCTTTGCCTTTTTGGACTGCAAGTGACACCAAACCAAGAGCAAAAAGAAGTATTTTTGGTCCAATTATTGGCCAAAAACTGATTGGGAGAACTTGTAATAAGATTTTGGAAAGCTAACAGAGCTTGTTGGTCAGTCTCATTAGAGGAAGAAAGTGATATAGAAAATTGAATTAGAAAGAGAAGAATCAATAAGAGAATGTTCTTCTTCATGATTGATTCAAAGCTTGATTTGTTTTTCAAATGTATTATATTATTCCATTATATAGCAACACTTCTGTTGTACGTTGACTTGACAAAGCAATTGTACTATCACATCAATAATACAATACATTAATTTGTGGGTATGTTCGTTGTTTATATGTCATAGTCTGAATCGATAAGAAATTTGAGAAGGCAGTGAAAACTTTTGAAATTATTAATCTTAAATATATCATAATATATGTATGACTATAATTTATTTATTTTCTCATTATAGAAAAACTGAAATGTTTAAAGTTAAATATATATATATTTTTTACAAACGTACTAGTGAAGTTAAATGGTTTTGATTTCCACAAACTTATTTGTGGGGGTATTTCACATTATTGAAATGTCATCACATTGAGGAATTACGTAATCTAAGGGTTAAGGAAATTGATTGAGAAAAGTCAGTTAACTTAAATTATTTTTAAAAAAAATTATATAAATAAAAAAAGGTTGCATTATATATATGGTACAAACCCAAGTCAACCTAAGGGGTCATGCAGTGTAAGACAAGTTTGGAAAAATTGCATGTTGCCTGACCTAAGTTGCCATCATAACCCCACATGCATTTATCATCTTTGGACCAACTAACCTGTAATAGCTCTTTTTTTCTAATGGAGGGTAAATTGGTAATTTAATCCTTAATAATAATAATAAATAATAAATAATAAATAATAATAATAATAATAATGATAATAATAATGAAAATTAAAAGGTATGGACCGACTCTATTCTATTATTTATGTTACTCAGTGTGTTTCCTAAGGAATAGAAAGTAGGGTGATGCGTACACAGTTTTATTCCTATCTTGTATTGAAGGTAGAGAGACAGTTTGGAAACATTCGGCTCAAGTAAGACATATCTAAATCGGTAAAAAATTAAAATACAAAAGTGAGAAACCATATAAAAAATAATTTGTTGATGATCATTATTATTGTCGATTTATTACGTTACAAGTAGTTTTATTTTTGAGGAAATTTCCATTCGTATCGGGAAGTATCACATCACGGTAAAATATTCCTTAATAGAGACGACTCTATATTATTCAATTATATCATACCACTTTATGTGTTGACTTGACAGAGCAATTGGTATTTGCCCAAGTCTTCACGGCATCAACAACAACAACAGTCAATGTAATATCAAAAGTGTACAAAGTCTTGCCCTTAATTATTTCTCAAATCTTCACCTGCAAACGTATGGAATGGTCCTTAAGATTTTATCCACAAACACTTTAAACTAATTATTCATAAATACTAAAAATTAAGGTGTAAAAGTCTTATTATTTATAGTTTGGAAATCAGAGTATTTATAAACATACTATTATTTTTTATAGAATTTATTGTCTCTTCATACATGACTTATCCACCATTAACCTAATGCTATATGTTTCAGCTTTTTTGTTCAACAAAAAAATGAGTAAACATTTTATCAAATTCATTCTTAAAGGTGAAAGTTAATATATATGACAAATTAAAAGTACAAAAATAAAAAAATAAGAAGAAAGAAACGCATGAGCAAGACAATTAGGTTTGCTTTACTCTATAATGAAAACTGAAATAAAAATTAACGTAACAAATAGTTTATATTTGAGCAGCTCTACAAAAGGAAAAACTACAAAATATGGCAAACATTAATATACATTTAAAATAAATAGTACAGTTTTTTTTTTATGTTATATGGATATAACTACACAAAAAATAGCAAAGTTAATTATATATAAATAATCAAAAAAGTTATTAATATTAAATAGGAAAATTATTATTACACACCTAATTGATTATGTCTAGGCATGTTTTATGTGATTGGTTCCCCATGTTTACCCTCATTAATCCTTTCTCTTTCATCAATCTTCCTATATCACAAAAAAATTCAACTTTCTCCCAAATTTCTTCCAATTTAAGATCTTTTTGATGATGCTAGGAGCAATTTTTGTAATTTAAATTCATCAGATATCGTTTAATTGATTTTCTCCTCGTTTTTATGAAGATCATATTTGTATACATATATATTGCATCTATTTTTATAGGTTTTCGATTGAAGAATTATTTGTTTCTACATTACAATGGCTATAGTTATAAAAAAAAGTAGTACAAGAAGAACACGAGCAAAAAGAGATCGATGTTTGTGTGATTGTCAAATTTGTATATAGTAGAATAGTTATATACATAGATGCTTGTATTCTAATATTAACACAAGTTGAAATGGTGATTTGTGAATACAAGTATATTTGGATACATAAGTAATCTATCGAATTTGAAAGGTTAATTAGGCAATACAAGTATAATTGGATACATTAATCCTTTTTTTTTTATAAACAAATACATGAGTCAACTCCAAGCCTCAAGTATTATAAGAAAAATTTGACCAAAAAGAGATTGACGTTTGTTGGTTTTTTTCATTTTTTATACAGCTGAATGCTTGCACACTTTTGCTACCTACACATTCTATGATTTTTCATTTTTTTTGTTTATGTATTGTCAAATATATCCATCTTTTGCTTAACAATAATGTATTTATATGTATACTATATTGATATATTCATTTTATTTGTTTAACAATAATGTATTCATTTTTCAAATTATCGTGTTCATATGCTAAATTATTATACTTTATCTTGTTAATATATTAATACATTAAGTTTTTACAAATACTTGTATCCTTGATATATTAATACTTTGCATTTTATAAAGGGAAAAGGGACAAATATACCCCCAAACTATTGTAAATGGTATGCAGATACCCTTCGTCATACTTTATGGGCATTGGTGCCCCTGCCGTCCAAAAACTAGAGCTTATATACCCTTTATACTAACGGACATACACGTGTCATAATCTTATCCATCGACCCGACATAGGATCAAAGGATAAGATTGCGCCACGTGTCCCTATTTAGTCTTCCGTTAGAGTGAAGGGCATATACGCTCGGTATCTGCATAAAGTATGACGAAGGGTATCTGCATACCATTTACAATAGTTCGGGGGTATATTTGTCATTTTTTCCTTTTTATAAATAAAGATACTAATTTGAATTTGTACAATTAATACAGTTTCCTTATTTAGTTCATTATAATTAAAACTGTATCGGTGTATAAATAGAAAAATAAAAAACATATACAATAATATAGCTAGAAAAAGAGTTAAATTGTAGTCATTTTTTTATAAATACCATACTTATAGCTATTGAACTTTAATAACCCTATAAATATAGTCATTTTTGTAAGTTGCTAAAAAAAAAGAAGGCATAATACATATATTGGCCCCTAAACTTTGCTTCAAATTTTAACTTTGACCTCCAACTTTCACAATGCACAAATAGGCACTTTAACTATCCTACCTTTAAATAAATAAACACGCGATTTTCGGAGCCAAAAGCGTGAAATGCAAACGCTGCCACGTGTATTAGTGACCCACTCAATGGCTGCCAACTATTCAATGCACGTGGGCCCGTTTTCCTGTCTATTTGACACCTTTTCAATTTGCCATGCATTTATTTTAATGGATATGGACCCCACCTCACTAATTCCATTCC